TATTGCTGCATTATTCACAACAGCAAAGACATGCAAGCAACCCAAGTGTGCATCAATAAATGAATAGAGAAACTATGCTACATTCACAATGGAATATTATGCAGCAGTGAAAAACAATGAACTCATAAAACATTACACAATATGGGTGCCTGGAGGATATCATGCTGGGTGAACTAGCTTAGTCACAAAAGGACAAATACTGTATAACACTGCTGTTATAAAATAAGACTGACATGGAGTGTTTGGGGGAAAAAGGAAAAGACTGGACAGATAATGAACACTGTATTCAAACAGATGAGAGGAAGAACTGTCCAAAAGAAATACACGACTAGGCATTATATGTATGACAACAATCTGGAAAGGTGCATTTCAAAGTGGGCTGAAGAAGGTGGAAGGGAGGGGGGAGGGAAGAAAATGTGCAATATTGAGTGAAAAAAAATAATGGAATGTCAAATGTATAGTGTGAATCTAGAAAAAGTAGACGTCATCAAAATTAAAATGGAATGTATAAAAATGAATATTCAAGACACAATGTGCTGAAATGGGTTTTGGTTATAATCAATTGGAAAATTATATGGTCTGCTATACTGGGAATGACAAAGTGAAAAAGTAGCATATTTATCATCAAAAAGAACATTTCAAGAGTTACTCTGAATTACAATGCTGTTAGTGAAAAGACATTAACCATATGCCTATAGGAAAGGACAATTAATAATACCCTTATTAATAACATTTCATGCACACACTACTAATGCCAAAGAGGAAGAAATTAAGGACTTTTATCAACTTTTACAGTCTGAAACTGACTAAATATGCAATCACGATCCATTGATAATTTCTGTTGTTGGAATGTAAAGTTTGAAAATGAAAAACAGTAATAATTGAAAAATACAGCTTTGGTGAGAGACATGATACTGGAGATCACATGATAAAATTCTGTAACTTATTAATTGCAAATGCCTTTTTAAAACAACATAATCAGTAACTATACACACATTTGCCCTTGTTGTTAGCTGCAGTAGAGCCAAATACCTTTGAGTCAATGACTATACACATAGATCTTTCCAAATTGATTATACACGAATTAAACTGACTATATCTGTGGAAAGAAATGACAGAGAATCCTGGTATCACTGGTCAGTTTAAATCTTGGGCTAACTATGTAATAAACTTTGTATCACTCATCTGCAAATTAAAGCTGAAAGAATGAAAACAAATCCAGGAGAGCTAAAGTTGGCCTAATAGAGTGTGGAAATTTCAAGCAAAATCCTGCTGAAGATTATCCAAAAATGACTGGAACAGGACATTGACAGAGAATTACCAGAAGTACAAGCTGGGTTTAGAAGTTGTGGCACTAGAGACATTATCAACAATGTTAGATGGATTTTGAGTGAAAGCAAAGAGTTCCCTAGGAATGTCTATCTTTGTTTCATTGATTATGTAAAGGCATTTGACAGTGTGGATCACAACAAATTGTGGCTAACCTTGACAAAAATGGGGATCTCAGAACACTTGATTGTGCTCATGTGGGACCAGGAAACAGTAGTCAGAACAGAGCAGGGAAACACTGCAGGAAAGAAGTGTGTCAGGGATATGTCCTATTTCCGTATCTTTTCAATCTGTATGTGGAACAGATCATTCAGGAGATTGGACTTTTTGAGGAAGACTGTGGCATCAGGACTGGAGGAAGACTCATTAACAACCTGCGTTATGCAGATGACACAACTTTGCTTGCTGAAACTGAGGAGGGCCTGAAGCATTTGATGCAGAAAGTCAATGACTGGCGTCTTCAATATGGATTGAAACTCAATATGAAGAAGACAAATATTCTCCTCACTGGGCCCACTGGTAGCACCATGATAGATGGTGAAGAGATTGAGTTGTTAAGTTTCACCTTGCTCGGCTCCAGAATCAACATTTTTAGCACTAGCATTGGGGAAGTCTGCTGTCTGGGATCTCTCCAAAGTGTTAAAGAACAATGATGTCAGTCTAGAGATTAAAGTGTGCCTGATCAAGGCCATGGTCTTTCTTTGCAATTATTTGCTATGGTTCAGAAAGCTGGACAATGACTAAGAATGACAGAAGAAGAACTGATGTCTTTGAGTTGTGGTGCTGAAGAACAGTATTGAACATTTTATGAATCACCAGGAGAACAAATAAGTCGGTTTGGAGAGGGTGAAAACAAGTTTCTCTTTGGTGGCTAGGATTTTGAAACTCTGTCTCACATACTTTTGGTACATGGCCAGGAGGGACTGGTCCTTGGAGAAGGACATAATACTTGGAAGAGTGGAGGGACAGTGCAGGAGAGGAAGATCCCAGATGAGATGGATTGACACGGTAACTGGGGTAATGGAACTAGGTGTATCAGTCAGTGAGACTGGTTGAGGATAGGGCAGGGTTCAGAGCTATTGTATACAGGGTCGCTATGAGTTGCAGGAGAATAAATGGCACAAAAAAAAAAATCAATAACAAGGTTTGACCTTGAGTATATTCTGAGTTTATCGACCATTTTAGGAACAATTTTGACATGCTGAATACTGAAGACCAGATGAGTAGTGGGATGACAAGGACACGAAGAAGGCAAACTGTCATTAATAAGACAGGAAAGAGAGTAATAAACCAAAATGAACATCAGAAGAGATTCTGAAACTTGTTCCAGACTGTAGAGTAGCTAAAAAGGAACTGAAGAAATGATGATGTCAAAATAGCTGAATTATAAATGTTGAGTCAAAAAGGAAAATTATACTAGAAAATGTATAAAGATCTGGAATTAAAAAAAAAAAAACTCATAAGAGAAGAATATCAAGCTGAAAGAACAGAAGAAAAAAAGTCAGGACTTGATTTGTAACACTGAAGGATTTTGTGTTGGTTTGACTATACAAAGACATTTAGTCAAATGTGTGGATCACAACAAATTGTTGATAACCTGGAGATGTATGGGAACCTAGAACACTTGATAGTGCTCATGCGAAGCCTGTACTTGGACCAGGAGGCAGTCATCAGAACAGAGGAAGGAAATAATGCATGGTTCAAAATCAGAAAAAGCGTACACCAGGGGAGCATCCTCTCTCTGTATTTTTTCAATCTATATGTGTAACTGATAATGTGGGAGGCAGGACTCTATGAGGAGGAATGTGGCATCAGGATTGGAAGAAGGCTCAGCAACCTACATTATGCAGATGACACAACGCTGTTTGCTGAAACTGGGGAGGGCATGCGGTGTTTGCTGCAGAAAGTCAAGGAATGCAGTATTCTCTATGAATTGAAGCTCAACACTAAGAAAACATTGGGCCAACTGGCAACATGCTGATAGAGAAAAGACTGTGATTGTTAACAATTTCAGCTTGCTTGGGACTACAATCAACACTCTCAGCACCAATAGTCAGGAAATCAAAAGAATTGCACTGGGAAAATCCACTGTCAGGGACTTCTCCAGAGTACTGAAGAAAATGATGTCAGACTAGAGACTAAGATGCACATGATACAAGCCATGGTCCTGGCAATTACTTGCTATATATCAGATAGCTGGACAATGACTAAGGATGATGTTGTTGTTGTTGTTAAGTGCCGTCGAGTCGCAGGCGGCTCATAGCGACCCTGTGAAGGAGAGTCCTCGATGCCTGGGTGCCTTTCATCCTCTCTCCAGGTTCATAGGGTTTCCAGAGGCAGGCTATTATGGAAGTGGATGCCACTCCTCCTTCCAAAGGATGATAGAAGAATTTATTTCTTTGAGTTGTGGTGCTGGAGAAGAATATTGAACATACCATGGACTGCTAAGAGAACAGGAATGTTCAGGAGAGGGTGAAATTAAGCAGCTGTTTGGAGGCAAAGATTTTAAGCTCCATCTGACATACTTTGGGTATGTTGCCAAGGGGACTGGTCCTAGGAGAAGGATATTACGCTTGGAAGGCTGGAGGGACAGTGCAAGGGAGGAAGACCCTGCATGAGATATAATGATTCAGTAACTGAGGTAACGGGGTAGGTGTGTCAGAGACAGCAATATTGGCTCAGGGTAGGGTAGAGTTCAGAGCTATTGTGTGTACTGTCTCTATGAGTTACAGGCACAAAGCAACAACAACAGCAAAAATGTGCTGGACAAACGTGTTCCAGAAAACATGTGTAAATTATTAAAAGGCAAAGATGTCATCTTGAACATTAAGGTGTGCATGACTAAAGTCATAGTGTTTTTAGGTTACAATTCCCTGAAAACACCACCACCAGAGCTCCCTTAGCCATGGCAGTTTTAATTGTCCCAGAGTCACAAGAAAGCTGGACCATAAATAAGGAAGATCAAAGAAGAACTGCTGCCTTTGAATTACAGTGTAAATGGAGAATACTAAATAGAAAATGGGCTGCCTGAAAAATAAGCACACCTGTTTCGGAAGAGTGCACTCAGAGTGTTTCTTAGAAGGAAGGATAGAAGACTGTCTTATATGCTTTGGGCTTGTTATCAGGAGCTAGTGCCTGGAGAAGCACATCATGGTGGAAAAGCAGAGGGTCAGTGAAAAAGAGAAAGGCTCTCAAGGAGATGGATTGCTATGGTGACTGCAGCAGTGGGCCTTGCACAGCGGAGACTAAGGATGGCAGGCAGGATCACATGGTATTTTAAAATGGCACAATCCACAGTGCTATATTTCAAAGTTCACTGTGAAAACGCCACAGTAAAAACCTGTTTTTACCTTTTTTTAATTTTAGTGGTCTGAAACGTGTTTGGTCCTGAAGAGCAGACACTCATACTTGGTCTCAAGTGGCCATAAATACATAATTTCATAAAAAGTCTGTTGACACAGACATTTTAATATCATGAAATAAAGACTCGCTCTGCTGAAAGCCAACAATGCATGTGCACAGGATAAAGGAAACAGTACCAAACAGAAAAGGAACCACAGTATCTCAATTTATGCTCAACTGAACTCAATTAATAAAAAGGAATTTGATTTCTTGTTAATCCGATGTGTATATGTATTTTATGGTAATAAAAATTCTACCCATCAACTTACCAATGGCAGCTTTGCCCCAGATCTGCACATGAAGGTGTGTTTTTCCTTTTGTTGACTTATTTAGTATTTGAAGGCTATTTTTAATCCTGTGCTGTTGCTCGTTTTTCTCATCTATTTCCCATGGATTCCATTCTTCACTTTCCAAAGTAGACTGGTCTGCATTTAAAAAGGAGTAAAAGGTTTATCAGTAAGGAAAAACAAAATCAGCAGAAAAACATGAGCAAACCTATCACTTTGAGTTAATTCTGAATCATGACAATCCCATGTGTTGAAGGTTGCTAGGTTTTCTTCCAAGGTGCTTCTGGGCAGATTGAAATTGCCAAAGTGTAAGGTGGTAGTTAAGCATTTGAGTATTTTCATTACTCAGGGGATCAGTAAGGTTTGACCTAATAAAGTCACTTCAACTAGAAGCTAACCAAATCCCAAAATGAAATCCACTGCTGTCTAGCAGACGCTGACTCTTAACAGTTTTGGTGGCTATACACCTTACGTAGTAGACCCTCATCATCTTTAGCTGGTGGATGCCAAGAGCTGAGATTTCTGTTAGCGTCACACTTTTACCACCAGGGCATAAAAAACACACAAATACATTGCTGCAAAGTCAATTCTGACTCATACTGACTCTCCATCAGGTTTTCCAGGCTCCAGATCTTTATGAGAAGTGACTCCCATCTTTCTCTTGCAAAGCAGCAGATGGATTTGAACTGCTGGTCAACAAGGAATATCATCACTAACATCAGATAGTGGTAAAACTTGAAATGCCTATACCACCAGAGCTCTACCATGAGGTTACTGTTGTTTGAGATTGAGTTAGAACTGACCCACAGCAGACCCTCCAGTGCTTTTTCAAACGCAGTTAAGTTGCTTAGGAGGAGACTGCCCACTTAGGAAGTTCTAATTTGCTTATATAACTTCATTCCGCGTCCCCCCCCCCCCACCAGAATGATAAAGCAATGGCATTTGGATTGGTTTAAATATATCTAATTTTTTAAAATCAGCAACTTAATTTTTAATGACCTTTTACTCTGAGAGAATTTAGGAGTAAGTTAATAAAGACAGGAAAATTATACCCTCCAGAACAAAGCATTTAAAAATAACTGGACTATATGTATCAAGTTTTATGTTAACTTTTGTTAATTTCTTACATTAATTAGTACATACATTAAAAGAACACTCTGTCACCATCAAATTGACTGTGATTTTGATGCCCTCTTGTATGTCAGAGTAGAACTGTGTTCCAAAGGGTTTTCGATGGTTTTATTTTCAGGTAGATTGCCAGGCCCTTTTTCCAAGGTGGCTCTGAGTGCACTTGATTCCTGAACTTCCAAACTTTCATTTGGCAGCTAAGCTTCTTAATATGTTACATTACCCAGGGAACTCACTGTTTACACAGAACCTATATATGATTAGGCATTATTGCCATGACAGGAGTCCAGAACAAAGGCTGCATAAGGAGCAGACTTGGGGGGAGGGATTGTGTAACAATGCAAGAATTTTACTTTTCAAAAGGAAGGCTGCATAGTGGAGTGGACTTGGGGGAGGGATTGTATAACAATGAAAGAATCTTTCTTTTACTTTTCAAAGAGAAGTGCAAACTTGGGGGAGTTTGGGAAAGAGGAAGAAAAGTACAATGAATGAATGGACATCCAAAGTCTCTGTAAACTTTCATTAAAATACTACTACTACTACTACTACTACTACTGCTACTACTACTACTACTACTACTACTACTAGTACTACTACTGCTACTACTACTACTACTACTTAGGGGAGCTCTGGTAGCTTGGTGCTAAGGAACTGCGCTGCCACCCAGTGGTATGCGGTTCAAACCCATGAGCGGCTCTGCAGGAGAAAGATGGTCAATCTTCTCCCATTCGATTTACCGCCCCTGAAAACCTGCTGGACGGTCAACTGATTTGATTCCGACTCTGCAGTAGTCAACAACAACATGCATAAAGGCTTAACCTCCGAATGTAAAGTGTTCACTAGTTTTAGATATTGTTGGACAAAATGCTTAAAAAAAAAAAAAAGGATAAAAGCTTACTTTGATTCCAACACAGATGGAAATGCAAAGGGCCAGAACTCGGAAATAAAAAGCCCTGGTTTATGCAAACTTATAGAAGGATCTTTGTTTCAATGTACTTCTATTTCTTAAACTCAGGTGCGATTTGTAGTATGCTGCATTCCTATTAATCTCTGTAACATTTGGGACAACATCTTGGACCCTTTACACTTGTTTTAAAGGTGTGCGTGGCCATCAGCCTGGGTGGTGAGCGGGGACACCGTGTGAGACTCTTAAAGAGGATCTCCTTTCAACCCAAGCTCAAGGATGGCCTGGAAGAGCCTGGGGGAAGCTCACCCCACGGTCCCGGACAATCTGGAGGCCAGAGTTGGGCCCGCCCCGCCCCACGCAGCTCGGCTCGGCTCGGCTCCGCCCCGGCCCCCAGCCCTGAAGCTTTCAAGCACTCGCCACCATTCAAGAGGGCCACTGTGGTCCTACCTCGGCCACGCCTGTCCCGTGCAGGGGCCGCCCCCTTCCGGAGGCCCCGGGGTGACGCGGCGGGCACCCGACTGCGGCTCCCGAAAAAGACGTGGTAAGCGGCGTAGAGGGAGAAGAGGCAGTACAGGGCGATCAGAAGAGAGCAGAGCCGCTTCCGAGTCAGCCGCATATCAGCTGGGCCCCGAGTCTGCCCCTCGCCTCCATAGAGCGTGGCCGAAGCGAAGCCGCTGCTGAGACTCGAGGTGCTGGTGGCGATCAGAGCAGGCCCAGGCCAGGGCCAGTGGAGACAGGCTCGAGACCTGGCCAGGGACGGCCCCTGTGCTGTTCCTCCGCCCCGTTCTGGATTCTCGCCACGCCTCCGGCTCCTCCCATACCTCAGTTCCGGCTCCTCCCACAGCTCGTTTCCGGTCCCGCCCACTCGCGCAGGCCCATCCCACTCCCCGACTCGCCTCCGCCCACTCCGCCAAGACTCCTCCCACTCCCCTGTCCCAGCTTCGCCCATTTCCTAACAAGGGATCCCCTCACCTCAACTGCAGGCTTCTTGAAAGGCGGGAGATTTGTGTAAGGGATTGGAAGATCGGCTCATTTCCAGGACAAAGCATACTTTTCTGGATTTCCAGTGTACTCTAGTCACCTTTCAAACCTGCTACCATCCGTCTCTCTTGCCGAAATGGTTCGTGGAGATGCTAACATGCAATTTCTGTAAAACACAGACTCCTCAATCTGCCGGGACTTCTGCATTTAAATGCCTCTTTAAAATATTACGTTTTCCTGCTGTAGAAGGAGGGGCAATCTCCTCCTATACCATTCAGATCCAACTTGAAGGCCCCCACACAAAATATAATAAAATAAATTAAAAAAAGGATTACGTTTTCTCGCTATCATGTGACTTGACTGCACAGTCTATTGTCAAATAAAACCCAAACTCATTTCCTTCAAGTAGATACAGACTCATGAGCAAGGTCAGATTAAGTCGTGCATATGTGTATATATGTCATGATGTAATTTCTTTAAAAAATTGACTAGCTTTGTTTGTCTCACATACTTTGGGCAGTTGCTAGGAGAGGCTTTTTCTTGGAAAGGGACATCCTGCTTAGTGGGTGGGTGAAAGAAAAAGGAATACAACAGGATGGATTGATGCAGTGACTGCAGCAATGGGCTCCATTATTACAGACATTTTGAGGATGACACTGGATAGGACAGGGTTCAGATCTCTTGTTCATAGGGTCATTATGAGTCATTCTTGACTCCATGGCACCTAACAACAACAAACCATAACTATCTGGCGGAGAGGCACCCACCAGACACAGCTCCCCATGAACGCAATAAAATATTCTATGGAAAATAGAATCTATATGAATGATAAAACCTGTATTTTTATTCAAGGGCCTTCTGGTTGTTTTTTTTTTTTTTAAGTTCATTTAGGGAGTTTGGTCAAAGACTTGAACTGGAGGAATATCAACAAGCTGGACTGAAAATGATCTTGAATAAGACTCCTTTTTAAAATATTAATTTTAATGAAAGTTTACAGAGACTTAGGGTTTCCATTCAATCATTGTTGTACTTTTCTCCCTGCCTACCCCCTCACCCACAATTCGCTCTTCTCTTCGAAAAGTCAAAGAAAATTTTTTTCATTGTTACACAATCCCTCCCCCCAAGTCAACTCCGCTATGCAGTCTTCATTCTGGACTCTAGTCATGACAATAATACCTAATCATATATTCCTTTTAAACAGTTTTCTCCCTCATTTGTTTCAGTGCAGTATACATTATTTATCCCCTCTTTCTCAGTCTTCCCTCAACCCTGATATCAGTCTCATTTTACAACAGTGGCCCTATGCAATATTTGTCCTTTTGTGACTGAGATATCTCACTCAGCATAATGTTTTCCAGACTAAGCCATTTTGTATAATATCAGTTCCTTGTTTTTCAGTGCAGCATAGTATTCCATTGTGTGAATATACCAGAGCTTCTCTATTCATTTGTTGATGGGTGAATAAGACTCTTAATCTCTTCATGATACAATTATAGGGACAAAGGCAAACTAGAAAGATTTTATTTGAAACAAATTACTGCTCAGTAATAATGAAAAGATGCAGTCTTTACTATCTTTTGTTGAACAACAAGAAAATCCAAAAGTTGATAACAAATATCAAGTTGAAAGAATCACAAGAAAATATCTCAAGTTAGCTGATGATATTCTCAACAATCTCCACGCTAATGTTTATTAAAACAAGTTTTTTGGACAGCTGGAAAAAATTTGCACAAAATTAGGTTGAACCACAACAATATCAATGTAATTTGACTTTTAGTAGTGCATTTAATACAAAACCCCAAAACTCAAATAATATGTCCTCTTAAATTTTGGTGATCAATTAATAGAATTTTCTATTTATAATTTAGCCTGCTTTAAAAAACTTTATTTTCAATAAATTTTTACTAATTTAGATTTCATGACAAAACATTTCAATATACTTAATTTTATATTCATTTCAATATAGTTAATTTACTGTTATAAACTATTTAAAAATATTCAGGTTTTTGCTTGTTTTAAATGTATTAACTGTACATCTCTGAAAACAATAGAGTTTCTTGTTCTGATGCCAATCAATTCCAGACTGAATCACTCTTTGTTGAATTTCAGTCAATAGTATAGGTCTTGGCAAATATCTTTAGAGTGTTTGTTCTTGGAAATACTAGATCTTGGAGGCTAAAGCTGTGTAAACCAACAAAAATACCTTACTTGTCAAGAACTTACTTCTAGATCTTACCACAACTTAGCATCACTATTGACACTTGTTAATGCTGTAAACTCTGGTCAATCTCAACCAACCAGTTCTCAGGCTTTCTTACAGTCTCTTCTCCTAGGTCCTAAAACCTACAATCTATTTCTCTTGAATTTCCTGCTTTAGATACTGTGTGAGTTCTAGTGGCATAGCCCCTAGAAAGTTGTGGTGATAACCCAAAGACCACACCTCTGTGAGGTTCTGATGGAGAAAGATCTCCCCAGCAAATTGCAGCCTCTGAAAACTCCCTGGAAGTTGAGCAATGAGTCAGTTTCTACTCACTTGAGTTGCTGAAGATACTTTTCAGGCCCAGCCATATATGTATCTTCTCTTACCGTGTCAAAGTTAAGAAACTTAACTCTTCTTGATCAAAGGGTACTTTTAGGGGGTATTTTTGGAAACTGAAAACATTGGCAACAAAATACTGTTATCAGTACCATTGTTAGTACTAGCTTCATTAGAATGTTTGCAATTTTTTTCTTGTGAGTTCATTATTACCAAAGATTGTTTTAATATATAGTCCTTGGGTGGCACTAACAGTCAAGTGCTTGATGACTAACCAACTAGGCAATTTATAACAATATGCTTTAATGTTCTTAGCTTTTGTTTCTTGTTTTAAGCAGGTCTTACACATAACAACTTCCACATGTGTGGTGTATCTAGCTTGGTATTTTAATTTCACCTGGGCAAGTTTGTTTGTTTTTCTCCCCCTCTACATGCTTCATCTTTAAGATTTCTGAGTAGCCAACAAGTTAGTTCACAGCGCTCTGGTAAATCCGTCTATAGAAAGAGTAGCCTTTGAAGTTCTGGACTTTACCACACCAGAATTCATGGGCCAAGTTGACAGTTTAAGCGAGAAGTATTAGAACTTTAGACACGATCATGTGATTAAAAATAGGAGACCTCTGGTGGTTTAGTGCATAGTGAGTATTGCAGTTGTTTGAATTTACCAATTTCTCAGGAGGAGTAAGATAGGCAGTCTCTCCCTGTTGTGATTTACAGCTTTGCAAACTTGATGGAGAGTCGAGCGATGAGTCTGAACTAATTCTGTGACAGTGAGTTTGAGTGTCTTTTGTTTGCATGTTTCTTAGTTTTGTAAAATTAGTATCATAACCGCTCAAATTAGAAATAGAAACTAATAGTAGAAAGGCATACATTAAAAAATCCCTGTAATACAAGACTTCTGTGAAGATAAATTATTCTAAAAAAAGCAGACGGGCGGGGGTGGGGGTGGGGATTGTGTACCAGTAAAGGAGTTTTTCTTTTGCTTTTCAAGGAGAGGAGAGAACTGGAGGTGGGGTGCGTGGGGAGAAAAGTGCAACAGTGAATGAATGGAAGTCCAAAATCTCTGTAGATGATCACTGAAATTAATTAAAAAAAAAAAAGCAGACATGAAACGGTGCTTACAGAAAATGAACAGAGGAGGGAGCTGCAGATAGAATTTTAAACTATGAGCACAACTATTTCTGTTGAGACTTCTGATTCAGGCTAATATGAACACAGTGATATTTAAACAATGATATTATCTATAACTATATTTCTTTATCTGTGACTTGATGGTGCTTGCTTGGGGAATAAATGTCACAGAATTAATTCTAGGTATGTCATTAAAGTTATTTATGCTCAATAACGTCATACTTCTATAGTTTTCCAAGGCAACCTTCCTTAATTCTCAGTTTACTTCAATCTGCAGGGCTAGAATGGGGTAGTGGAAAGTATAGTAATAATAACAATGAAAAAAAACATTTCTCTGGCTTTGACGACGATACTTATTCTATACAAAGGGAACTCAGGTTTTTTTGTAAGAAGTTGCACTGCCAACCCAGAGGAAGCCAGTTCAATTTCATCAGCCACTGCATGGGAGAAAGGCATCCTCCTCCTGTGCTATTTACAGACTCTGAAAACCCACTGGAGAGTCACTTATGAGCCAATCTCAACTCGACAGCAATGAATTTGAGTGAGTTTATTTTGCACAAACACCAGCTATTCCTTTGAAATTCCTGCTAAAAGTGTAATATAAAATGGCACTTGGAAAAATATGTATGAAGCAAAAACAATGTATAGCATAGCGTGATCTGAGTGACATCAGCCTAAATGTTCATGGGATGAATGGATAACTATGGTTCATATATGCAGTGAAAAATATTGCTCAAATAGAAAGAGAAATGAAGGCCTGATACATACTACAGCATGAACAGATATTGAAAATATGCTGAGAGAAAACAATCAGCAAAGGGAAAATATTGTAATAACACCATTAATGTATTGTGAGCTCTGATGGTCTAGTAGTAAGAAGTTGCACTGTAAAGCCTAAGGCATGTAGTTTGAATCCACCAGCTGCTCTGCAGGGGAAAGGTGATCTCCTCTCATGGTTTAAAGCCTCTGAAAACCACGGGAGGAGATTGGCCATCTACTGAAGAGCAGCTG